GAGCTTATGTTACTAATATTATAAACGCGAAAGTTTGTGAGTATGGATGAATGGATGTTTGTTACAGTTTCACTCCAAAACTACAGAACGGATTTTGATGAAACTGTACAATAATATAGCTTATATAGCATATATTGACGACATCGGTGGTCTAGCGGTCTAGCATACCGCTTTACGTCCGACGGTCGCGGGTTCGATTCCTCGCACAGCACAAACATTTGTATTCATGAGTATGATTGTTTGTGTAGGTCTGGGTGTTTTCTATGTATAATATGTATGTATTTACGAAAAAAAAATATCTATGTACTTGTATCAGTTATCTAGTACCCGTAACACAAGCTTTAGCTAGCTTAACTTGGGACTAGGTGGCGCTGTGTGAATTGTCCTTAGATTATTATTATTGTTATTATATCATAACATGTGGGCTATAAATTTCATGCAGATGAAAACGTGGGCACGGCTAGTTTGTCTATAGTCTTACTGAATGTTAAATGAAATGCGGTCGTATTTATTATTGAGTCAGCTGTATATATGACTACCTAACCACAAGGCCAGAACCACGAGAAGCAGAGCGAACAAGAAATTCTAGTTTCTTGCTCATTCTTCTTGTGATGAGACAGCTTTCTGAATGACCGTTAGATTAAAATATAAATGGGACTATTCAATTCATTGGACTAAAATTAATAGGACTATTATTCAGTTCATTTGAATAAAGATTTTCCATTCTATCTTAAAAAAGAGATTTAATATACTTGGACAAGTTACACAGTGCCATCTAGTGATTAAACTATGCAAAGTCTATATTAATCTTTATCTACTACTACGTTAACTAAAAACAGATAGGAGTACTAATAAACATTTATAATATAAATATAGGTAATAATTTATAATAGAATCAAAGAGGCAACGCTATAGGGTCATGATCTTGGCAACTGGGTCAAGGCACGGATGTCCTGAGAGATAGAAACTGCGTAAACATTCTTCGTTATAGGTATCAACCTATAAAAATTACACAATAATTAAATAATAAACTTAATAATATATCTCAGGACAATTCACACAGCGCCATCTATCCCCAAGCTTGTGTAATAGACAACTGATATAAATACATAGATACATTTTTTTAGAATAGAATAGAATCTAAAATCTTTTATTCAAATAAACTTAATTTAAGCACTTTTGAATAGTCATTACATTTTTTTTAATCTACCGATCATTCGTAAAGCTGTCTCATCACAAGAAGAACGAGCAAGAAACTTGTGTGTTTGTACTATTAATATGTACATACATAATATACATAGATAATACCTAGGCCCATAGAAACAATTATACTTAAGAATACAAAAGTTTCTACTGTGGAAGGAATCGAACCCACAATCATCGGTGGCAAGGCGGTGTGACCGCTAGATCACAATAGCGTCAATATCATGTATTTATAAACTACATGAACTCATGACTATGTATCTGAGTAACTATTTTTTGTTAGTAAACTGATTGAAATAAAACAAATTAAATGATATTCAATTTTAATTCAAATTTAACCACAATAAGTTAACGAAAATCGGACCGAAATCGGTTAAGTCGTTTTTGATATTACTTTCAAGTGGACTGAGGAACAGACAACCATTCTAACAACTCTTGTTTTAGATTCTATTACGGTGATAAAATACACCAATAATAGTTTATCCCACATGTAGGAACATTTAAAAAAAAATACGAGCTGAGTTTCTTGTCAGTTCTTCTCATCTCGAAATCATTCCGAACTGACTGTAGATTTGACATATCATAAGTCTGTAATAGACCTACATGAATAAAGATATTTTGAATTTGAATTTGAATTTGTACATTTGGCTATAGTTTCGTTATATGTATTGAAATTATAATTTTTAGAAGTTCCAAACGAGTTCAATTATTTCTCTCTTCCAAACGAGTCCCTGAGCAATTGTAAAGCCTAGGAACAAGTTTCACTCAAGGCCAACAAAAAGCCTAAAAGTGCAAAACACGTGAATAATTCGCAGAATCACACCGCAACTTAGCAATTTCTAAATACACGATTCGAACAGAAATCAGAGTATTTTCTCATAGTAATGAACTTTATAATAAAACTTTTTTCGCGAAACAATAAAATAAACCGTGTTTTTCATCTACTCCCATACTTTTTTCTTTGTATATTTCGGCCAGAAATTATTGTTATGTGTTTATAAAGTAACACTAGCTACAGCCTACGACTTTGCTCGCATAGTATAATATAAATTATTACAAAGTCACCGCCGTTGTCCCTTATATCTTTTAAATTACGCAACGGATTTTAATGCAGTTTTCAGCAATAGATAGAGTGATTCAAGAGGAAGGTTTATATGTATAATACATGTGTGTAATAGTATAGAACAAGCCGAGAAATTCAAAGATTTGTAATGCAACCGTGAAAATCCGGGAGAGGTCGCTAGTATATAATATATATTTATATATATTTTAAATAAATTTATTTATTTCGTAGTGGTAGATAAACAAATATACGACCCACCTGATGTTAAACAGTTACCGAGACCTATGGCCATGAAACACCAAGAGTGTCACGTGCGCGTTGCCGACGCCTAATAAACAGTGATATGCTCTTTGAAGTTTTATGGTATGATTATTTCAAAAAGGATTATAATGGCAAACATGCTGACAGCCCACCTGATGGTGAACGGTAACCGTCACCTATATACATTAATTTTACGGATATCACGTTATCACGACACTACCCAAACGATTTTTTTGAGAGGACTAAGATGTCATGCCTCTTATCCTGAAATTTCACTGCCTAATCTGCACCCGAAACAGTTACAAAGCAAGCTGCTTGGCGGATGAGATATGTGGGACTGAGGTTCCTACGCAGACAAGTTTTTACAGTCAAAAAACATTTTTTCCAACTATTCTAATGCTGTTAAAACTTCACCGGACGATAGGGGGCGACTGCAGATGGCACTCCAAACCAAGGAAGGACTTATGGAGCGGCTGAAGGCCAACTCCCGCCTGACGGATACGACTTTAGTCTGAGGGCACCGCTAAGGATTCGAACTTGGCTAAGGCTGTCGTAATTTCGATTCCCGTTCGAATTGGATGGGGGATCGATCGGAGTAGCATAAAAAATATCAGTCTTTTTAAATAGAATAGAATAGAATAAAAAATCATTTATTCAAATAAACATAATGTAAGCTTTTGAATAGTCATAACAAAATTATTTTTTTAATCTACCGCACATTCGTGAATGTTGCTATTTTAAATAATACTTATAAGGTCACATTTTAAAAGTCGAAACGTGAATAAATACCAACCAGCACTAATAAGGTTTAAATATAAAAACATAATAAGATACGTACATAAGACGACTGATTTACTGTCGTAGTGATAAGAGCAGACCAGTCCCTACAAGCAGCAATCGTGCACGAGTATGACGGATGAGCCAGCCATCACTGCCCATATTTTAGGGAGCCCAATGACCCGGCCCACCACGCCGCCACATATCTGGACATTTGAGTGAGCATGACTACTCATTCCACTCGACCACGTCATAACTACTTAAAATTACTTTTTTTTTTTTAATATAATATTTACTAAGAAGCGGTTAGTTTAACTAGTAACTGTGTCTAAAGGAATTGAACTCATTTATCATTCGAGTTGATACCGTCACATTATAACATTAAAAATATAAAGAAATAGGCCGAATAAATAATTCTCCACTCGCTCGCAATAAACAAGTGATGCAAACTCGCATTAAATGCAAACGTTTATCACTCCGACCTACTTGGGACAATTTTTTTTATTCTGCAAACGGATTTTATTTTAAGGACTATAGCTAACTGAATTGGCGTATATTTTTACTTTCGGCTATTTTGAATATATAGATAATAATCCTTATCCTTACTTTAATATTATAAATGCGAAAGTAGTCTGTCTCTCTGTCTCACTTTCATGCCAAAACTACTGAACCGATTTAAATGAAATTTGGTACATAGATAGTCTAGACCCTGAGAAAGGACATAGGCTACTTTGAATGCGAAAAAAGAGTTGTAAGGGGTTGAAATTGGGGATAAAATATTGTATCGAAGAATCGTAATTTTTGAAGCTAGAAGCTTGAAAATTATTTTTGAGGCTGCTAATCATTTCATAGAATTAAACAAAGTCGCTGTCTCTGTCTCTCCGTCCCTATGTATGCTTAAATCTTTAAAACTACGTAATGAATTTTGAAGCGGTTTTTTTAATAGATAGAGTGATTCAAGAGGAAGCTTTATATGTATAATACATGTACAACCGAGTGAAGCTGGGGCGAGTAACTAGTTAAATGTAAATAAATATGACATACAAAGTTTTTAAATATTTTCCCCTTAAAGGGGTTAAATAAATTATGGGATAATTTTATCTTCACTCATAAATAAATAAACGAATTAGAATTCCCATTGACTCGTGTAGAATATATCAGTGACTTACATACACGAGTAATTTTCTTTGTAATACTATTTTTTCCCTACCGTCCTAAACGCAATATAATATACCTAGATTACTTTTGACTAGTCCTTTCACGGCTATCTTAGAGGTGATATTATTAAATTAACATTGTTATAACTCTAAACACTAAAATAAATGTTACACATTTTTTTCTGGTACGGTTGTAACATAATTTCTTGAAATAGGGATAAAGGACAGTAAATAATGAGAAGGATATAACATTCTTTTAAATATGCAATTTTTACTTTTATTCAATAAAATCTTAAATAATAAATAAAATAATAATTATTATTCAACATTTCTTCTTATTTATTTAAGTTTTTACAGCAAATATCACTTCGTACTACGGAAATCAAACCACTTTAAGAATTATCATTTCCTTTATAAAACAAACCACTAAACTTAATTTATCCATCTTTTAGTGATAAATGTCCTTAAAAAATAAAACTTAAAATATAACTTTATTATTTTTTTAAATTTCGAAACTAACAATTGACTTCCTTCCACAGACTTGCACATCGGACACATGATTCCATAAACTCACAAGAAAAAAAACAAAATCTCACAATGGCGGACAATCAACACTTCTGTCTGCGGTGGAACAACTACCAAAGCAGCATAACGAGCGCGTTCGAGAACCTTCGCGACGATGAAGACTTCGTGGACGTGACGCTGGCGTGTGACGGGAAGAGTCTGAAGGCCCACCGCGTCGTGCTTTCTGCTTGTAGTCCCTACTTCAGAGAACTGTTAAAAGTGAGTACGCCATGTTTCGATATGTCAAATTTTTGGCGGGAAATTATTATTTTATTGTTAAACGTGCACATGTTCTTTTTTTCTGTTTATCCTTTTACGGTAAGGCATAGGGAACTGCACCTATACAGCCATGTCTTCATATTTTTTATTGATGATATTCTTATATTATTTTTAATGTCTCGTTGAGGTTATGTATACCTGAATTTCTTAATATTTCCTGGAGATTACGCGGGACATGCTCTTCTATGGTGGATTTCACGAAATCTTCCGGATAAAAGAATTCGTTGTACAGAAGAAATGTAGACACTTAAAAAACTGATTCCAAAAAAAGGAAAAGAAAAAAAAACTGATTGAGAATCTCTTGAGAAGAAATCATTCTAAATCTAGTGCAAAAGTAATCAAAATAAGCACGTAGTAAATTAATATATCTATATTAGTATTTATTGTTGACAAATATTAATATTATATGTTTACGTGTATCAAAACTAATAATATGTTGAAAGTTGCAGTAAAGCATTTTTATAAAAAAATTAACATTAACATTTAAATATATTTTTTTCAATCAAAATTTAAAAACAAAATATGCTGCAATAATAATATAGGCAAGGCAAAAAGTTAAAAAGGAACAATTTTGTCAAGTTGTATCTTGGAAAAATTCTCTATGTAAACATTTTGGCGGGAATTTTTTTTAATCTATGGTCAAAGCAATTAAAAACGTATGAATATATCCTAAGATAGGTATTGAACCATTAACAACTTCATGATTTAAATATCGTAAAAATTCAATAGTATAAATTGCGCTATAAGTAATCAAAATAAGCACGTAGTAAATTAATATTTCTATATTAGTATTTATTGTTGACAAATATTAATATTATATAAAATTAAAGTTATCAAAATTAACAGTTATGTTGAAAGTTGTAGTAAAGATATTTTATAAAAAAAATATATTACAAAACTAATTTTAAATAAATTTCACGTTTATAAATCAAAATATTAAAAACAAAATATAATGACAATAATAAAAAACATAACAAAAAGTAAAAAGGAACAACTACTGTCAGGTGTGGGGTTCGAACCCACGCTCCCTCTCGGGAACCAGAGCTTAAATCTGGTATTATAGTCGTGATAGAGGGTTATATGTTTATTAAATTACGGCCATTATGACACATTGGCTGTCTGATACAGATTAATTTTCGCGTTCGCCGCATTGTATTTACATCACTAACTACTTATGAATATTGAATCGTGCTAAAACAATTTATACAGAATGTTTTGCATACATTTTATATAGTCATGGTTTATATTTATATTTATATAGTATAAAATGAAGTCACAGCACACCGGAACAAACCTAGTATATTTCAGTTGAATTGAGTATTGTCTCGTTATTTGTAACTACGGTTCAATGTAGGATCATGTGTATCTACTTATCTCATTTTAAGTGAACATGTATCTTTAACTTAGTGATAGATGATAAAAAAATTATAGTAAATTAATTCTGTGAAAAAGATTTTTATCCTAGTTCTTTTTATTTTTAAACTTATGTGTTTGTATATTATAAACCAGATCACGAATAATTTTTTTGTAATAAAAATTTTAATACAAATAGCTGGCACAATAACAGCAATCTTATACAGTTTTACAAATTCAAATTCAAACTCAAAAATCATTTATTCAAATTCAAAAATCACTTCTTCATGTAGGACATTTTAGCCGCTTATGAATGTCTAATTTTTTTATATTATGAATATTGAATCGTGCTAAAACAATTTATACAGAATATTTTGCATACATTTTATATAGTCATGGGTTATATTTATATTTACATAGTATAAAAAGAAGTCGCTTCCACTGTCCGTTCGTTTACATCTTCTAAACTACGCAACGGATTTTAATGCAGTTTTTAGCAATATATAGAGTGATTCTAGAGGAAAGTTTATATGTATAATACATGTACACCCGTACGAAGCTGGGGAGTGTAGCTAGTATGTAATAAGTATAAGTTAATTTGATAAAACTTAACTATTTTACAAATTGCTCAGATATTTTTTTTAATGTTTAAGTATTTTTTTACCATGTCTTCTTTTAACCAGGCTTCTGTCTACCCCTTCTGGTATTATTGTCGTGATAGAGTGTTATATGTTTTTAATAAATTACTTTTCATTATTACATATTAATTACTGTAACTGATACAGATTAATTTTTATGTTAAATACCTATTTAATTGATAAGTACTTATTATGAATGAAATACATAAACCAAATATTGATGAGTTCAGATCTTATTGTTTTTTTCATTCATTAAATATTTAGTTGCGTAGGTGAACTTCGTGTAACAGTTAATAAAAACAAGCTAAGATAACGTATTAATGTTAAATTGTTATAAACTCACTATATCCCGTGGCGTTACTCGCGTGAAATTGCATAAAATTAATTGAGCAGAGCGCTATAGTGAAATACCCACTATGTTACTATCTATACATATAAATAAAATTAGTAAGTACATACACCAAAATAAAATTTTTTTAGATTATTGTCTGTCTGTCAGTTTGTTCCGGCTAATCTCTGAAACGGCTGAGCCGATTTTGACGGGACTTTTTTTGGCAGGTAGCTAATGTAATAAGTAGTAACTGAGGCTACTTTTATTTTAGACAAATAAAGTATAATGCCACGCGGACGTCGTCGCGGGTACAGCTAGTTTATTAATATAATACTACAAAATACTTTCCGGTACTCGTTGTCTACCTACTATGTATATATGTATGTATTTGACAGCCTTGGTGGTCTAGGTGGTTATATTTTTTCTTTTTGAGTATAATTGATTGGTCGCGGGTTCGATTCCTCGCACGGCACAAAAATGTGTATTCATGAGTATGATTGTTTGTATTGATCTGAGTGTTTTCTATGTATAATATGTATGTATTTACAAAAAATACATGCTCCCATCATGTGACCTTATGTGTACATAACACACCGGAACAAACCTAGTATTTGAAGATATGTCAGTTGAAGAATTCTATTCTTGAATTGAGTAGTGTCTCGTTATTATTTGTAACTACGGTTCAATGTAGGATCATGTGTAGCTACTTATCTCATTTTAAGTGAACATGTATCTTTAACTTAATGATAGATAATAAAAAAATTATAGTAAATTAATTCTGTGAAAAAGATTTTTATCCTAGTTCTTTTTATTTTTAAACTTACGTGTTTAATATACATTTTTTATATTATAAACCAGGTCAAGAATAATTTTTTTGTAATAAAAAATTTAATACATATAGCTGGCACAATAACAGCAATCTTTTACAGTTTTACAAATTCAAATTCAAACTAAAAATCATTTATTCAAATTCAAAAATCATTTCTTCATGTAGGACATTTTAGCCGCTTATGAACGTCAAATTTTTTTATATTATATTTTTTCCTACCGTCCAGTTCCATATACAGATTCAATTGAGAAGAACCGGCAAGAAACTCATTTAAATTACTTATTTAAAAAAACATGTGTAAAGGTATGAAATAGGGTAGACTGGCAATAAATTCAATTGAATTTCTTATGTTTAAAAAAAATCTGGAAGGTAGAAAATAGGGTTCGAAAATCTATGTATGCGAAATCACGTGCAATAGGCTAGTGAACTTAAAATGATGTTTAATAAATATATAGAGAAATACTTAATGAGAAATGTTTTACAGTATACACGTTTCAACCATAGACTACTTTTTTCTTAAAAAAATAAATTCGGAAGCCATCGTAACTTGACCGTTATATATTTGGGAAGGTTAGTTCATCAAAAACTTGAATACACCTAATCACAAAATTACGGTATCATAGTTTAACTTAACGCTAACCTAATGCTGACTAACTCAAAACTTTAACTCTTTGTAAACAACTTCGAATATTTACTTGTTACCCCAAAACACTCAATTAGCTTTACGTAACTTTTTGTTAGTTATAATCTTAATCTTAAAAAAAATAACCTGTTCTTTCCACTCTATAATAATCCTTACTTGTATAATATTGTAAATGTGAAATTCTGTCTGTCTGCCTTGCTTTCAAGCAACAGACAACAGACAGGGCAGCCAAAACTACTGAACCGATTTAGTTGAAACTTGATACACAGATAGTTACAGTATCACAGTTTAATTTAATTGAAATTTGGTAATAATAATTTAACTTGAAAGAATAACACTAGCGTAATGACTGACTAACTCAAAACTTTAACTCTATAAACAACTTAACTAAAAAATTACTTTTTAACCGAAAACACTTAATTATCTTTAGGTAACTTTTATTAACTTACAATCTCATTCATAAAAAATATGTTATATGCTCTCTATAGAAATGTATAATAATTTAAAAAGCTTATCATTAAATTGTAGAGTTTATAAACGATAATAATATTGATGAAGAAAAAATCTAATTTAAAATTGATAAAGCTGACAGTATTATCTGATTACACAAAGAATGAGCGCGTAACGGTTTCTATCAGCAACTAAAATAAAAGTCACATCAAAATCGGTCCAGCCATTTCAGAGATTAGTCGGAACAAACAGAGAGACAAATATTCTAAAAAATGTTATTTTGGTGTATGTACCGTATTTATATTTATATGCATGTAGTATAAAACGTTTATTTCAATATTACAAACAGACACTCCAATTTTATTTATATGTATAGATGTATAGATTCAATAAAATACTAAAATAATGTCTTTCAAAGGCAGCTATTGATTTGTTTTATCATTTTTGTACAGTCAACACCCTGCAAGCACCCCGTGATCGTGCTCCAGGATGTGGCATTCACAGACCTGCACGCGCTGGTGGAATTCATCTACCACGGCGAGGTGAACGTTCATCAGAGGAGTCTCTCCTCCTTCCTCAAGACCGCCGAGGTCCTCCGGGTCTCCGGCCTCACTCAGAACGAGGATGTTCAGGGGGTAAGTTTTTTTTAACTCTTCTAATGCTGTTGGTCGCAATTGGCCTTTACAGCTTCACCAAATATTAGGGGGCGAGTGCAGATGGCACAACAAACTTGTGAACTTATGGAGCGGCTGAAGGCCAACTCCTGCCTGACGGATACAACTCTGGTCTGAGTGTAGGAGTTCGAAAAGTTATGTATACAATAATAATCATACATTAAACTTACATACACTTACATGAACTACATACATAAATAAAAAAATATCTGCTTAATATGCAAATACCAATATTTATAAGTAAATAAACATTCATTCATTTATTAATATATAGATACTAAATGGAGCTGTACGATTTGGAAGTGATGTAACGTATAAATATTTGAAGTCACACTATATATATTTATAAATTATTATAATTGAATTACTACAATCTAGTTAAAACACAGATAGTTATCAGTAATTAGCTGATACACGGAAAAATATGCAACACAATAATAGACAAGGTTCAGATTAGTAACGTACGTACATGCTGACACTTTAATATATATATATACTAGCTGACCCGGCAAACGTTGTTTTGCCATATAAATTAATAACGCTATAAAAAGTAGGGGTTGGTCATTGAAGGGTGAAAATTTAGGGTTGTATGTATTTTTTAATGACACAATAAAAAAATTTAAATAAAGTATTTTGCCCAAAGAATAAAAAAATAATGTTAGGGGTGGACAACCCTTATCACATAGGGGTATGAAAAATAGATAGTAACCGATTCTCAGACCTACTGAATATGCATATAAAATTTCATAAAAATTTAATGCATATAAAGTTTCGAAGGAGTATGGTAACTGACATTGTGACACGAGAATTTTATAAATTTCAATTAATGCATTCTATGAATGTGTCCATTCTAAGAATCCATACTATTAATAGTTTATGAGAAAAAATAAAGAATAATAATATATTTTATTTTATTAAAACCAATACATAGATAATGTTTTTTTTCGTAAATACATACATATTATACATAGATGGAAAATGTTTTGTTGCAATTCATACAGCATCATCTAGTAAGGCGGTGTGCTAAACCGCTAGACCACCGAGGCCTTCAAATTATTAATAGGTTATGAAATGTATATTTTATTTTATTAGAACGAGAAATAACCAGATGGAAAATTGTTGCAATTCATATAGCACCATCCAGTCCCAAGTTAAGCAGAGCTAGTGTTATGGGTAGATATAGACAGATATTTTTTGAATACATATATAATATACCCAAGCCCGATACAAACAATCATACTCATGAATACAAATATTTGTACCGTGCGAGGAATCGCAACCCGCAACCATAGGATGTAAGGCTAAACCGCTAGACCAACAAGGCCGTCAACCTGTCTCTTCAAAAAAATAACAACACCATTTTGTCCACAGCCGCTGCTGCAGAGCCTGCGAGCTACAACAGCCCCCTCCCCCCATACGCCGCCGCACCCCGCGCATATCCCCCACACTGCCCACACCCCAACATACTCTGAGAAACTTGAAGAAGCTCTCTCCCACGGTGGACCCTTCTCACGGCGAATTCCCCTCCCCCCGCGACGCATCAGCCGCTCTGCTGACAACTCCCCCGACGTCATCAAACGCCCCCGGCACGACAACAATAACACCGAGCAGAATCAGGTCCACGATTTCTCCACGAAAAACCACTCGATGGTGAACAATAGGAACCATGCGGAACCGGGGAACAATGGCAATGGTATCTCGAATAGCAGCTCCTCCCCATCCCCGAGGCTGATGGACGAAGTGAAGAATGAACCTCTGGATATGATATGCGTGCCCAATGCTGACATCGACAGAAGCACAGACGACACGCCACCGCATTCGCATCATAGAAACCTTGTGAGTAATTTTTTTATTCATCTTTCAACTATTACCAGCAAATTGACAATAATGACCATCTGTGAGACCAATTACAGGACCTCACAGATGGAGGTTTGAGCCCATCTGTGGAGTATCCAATAATTTTTGAAACTGAGGTTTAAAGTTTTTGGACTCTCCTCAGATGAGATTTTAGTATCCATCTCTAATAATTGGCTCCTTCGCAGATGAGACGTTATGTTATTTTAAGTTTTTTAAGGTTAATATTGCAATGGTGCACCTGCCTATGTTAACGGTGTTCACGGGGCACCAGTGGAGGATGATATAATGAACATGAGGTCAGGTCAGTTAGCCCATCGTGACACATTAAAATTGAAACTGATACAGTGTTCAAACGTTCAAGAAAAGAGCTTATTCCTTCTTAAAAGGCCGGCAACGCCCTTTCAATTCCCCTGGTAATGGATACTCATGGGCGGCGGTAATCACTTACCATCAGGTGAGCCGCAGGCCCGTTTGTCCCTATGCTCTAAAAAAAATCACCAGGAATTTATGTGAACGTTTACAAGTTGGTTGGTTGGTACAGTCAAACTTGGTTTAATTGTATCAACTTTATTAAATTGTACAAAAGGCGGGCTTAATGCTATTAGAGTTCTCTACCAGCCAACCTTAGGGAGTGCAGAGATGTGCAGAGTTATATCTGATGCATATTTAGTATTCATAGCACCAGATACATTCTCTTCGCAACAGACAGACAAATTTTACTAGTTAATTGTTCTTAAAAATAAACATCAAGTGACATTGAGACTTACCAAGTATTAGAGGCTACATAGACGTGCCACTTTTTGTGTCAGCAATAGGTGGTAGCTTATTAAATACTTCCCGTGTAGCACACGGCTCAGGCAGTCGCCATTTTTATTCCTCTTTTTGTTTGTTAATTATTTTCGCATTATAGTGTAATAAAATTTATCTATTATAGTATTTTGATAATAATTCATTCTAAATTTTCATTTTTATAAGAAAATAATCGAAGTTTAGCAATTACATAAATTTTTAAATTATATAGCATACATAAGGGTTCTTTATATAAATAGATCAGCAAACAAGGCTGCATGTCCGCGACGTCTCTCCATACAAATCGAAATTTTATTTGACTTACCCACTCCGCTTATTGACAAGTCGTAATATATATGAACAGTGCCTCTCATGACGTCATTATTGCATAACTAATTGACATGTCATATCTCATCTTTTCATGGGCCATATACCTGTTTGCCACCTACGTGGTATAAAAAAACATAGGATTCCGGTCGCAACTAAAAATTACCAAAACCTATTTCTGAACGTGTAATCGCTGTCCAAGCGACTAAACTATCGACCTCGCCGACACAAAAAGTGGCGAGTCTGCTCAGATCGCATGTCTAGCAAAGCTAGAATCTATACCCGGAACTTGTCGAGTCAAGTGTCATACGGACTGTCATATGAGTTCAAGTAACGAATAATAACGCTGTGAAGTATCACTTTAGCTGTACTGCCAAACGATATGCTGATTTGATTAGAATTCCGGTGTTTTTTTTTATTTAATCGAAATGGTAAACAAGCTGACCCCTGGTGGTGAATGGTAATCATATATGTTACAGCCTAACATATATATGTTACAGCTTTACAGTTTCCCAATATTGGGCATATTGGGAAGATAGTTACTAATATATACACACTAATTACACAAGGGAAAAAACAATCCTAATTTTACATAAATAATCTACTGCCATTCTACGAAACTCCAGCAAATTACAACTAAATATGTTTAGATCTGGAAAGCAATTAACTACACCGTTGAGTAGAATCAATGCTGGCATTGAGTCTACTAGGTGAAATAGGTGCTTGTTTGGCCAGTTCTGTTCTTCTCATATATCTAAATATATATAACTCAAAGGTGACTGACTGACATAGTGATCTATAAACGCACAGCCCAAACCACTGGAAGAATCAGGCTGAAACTTCATTAAATTCCATTTAGTAGTTTTTGCGTGAAAGAATAACAAATATCCGTACTTTCACATTTATAATATTATTAAGGAATTTAGAATTAAGGATAAGTATGTATTATCTAAATATATATAACTCAAAGGTGACTGACTGACATAGTGATCTATAAACGCACAGCCCAAACCACTGGAAGAATCGGGCTGAAATTTCATTAAAATTCATTTAGTACTTTTTGCGTGAAAGAATAACAAATATCCGTACTTTCACATTTATAATATTATTAAGGAATTTAGAATTAAGGATAAGTATGTATTATCTAAATATATATAACTCAAAGGTGACTGACAGACATAGTGATCTATAAACGCACAGCCTACACTGGACGGAACGGGCTAAAATTTGGCATGCAGGTCGATGTTATGACGCTAAGAAAGGATTTTGATTATTACTACCCCCAAGGGGATAAAATAGGGGATGAACGTTTGTATGAAACTTTATCAATTTTAAACCGATCGGGCTGAGACTTTGCATACATAAAGCTACTATGACGTAGGCATCCCTTAAGAAAGGATTTTGATAAATTCCACCCCTAAGGGTATAAATTAACGCGAGCGAAGTCGCGGGCAAAAGCTAGTATATATACATATATACATACATAATAATAATAATACCCCAGTACAATTCACACAACGTCATCTAATCCCAAGATAAGCAAAGCTTATTATGGTTACTAGACAGCTGATATAAATATTTAGATATATTTTTTTGTATCTACATACATAATATGCATAGAAAACACCCAGATCGATACAAACAATCGTACTTATGAATACGAATAATTGCACCGTGCGAGGAATCGACCCCCGACCATCGGAAATGAAGCTGTGAGCTAAACCGCTAGACCACCGTGGCCGTTAACACTTAAAAATATATACTTGATACTAAGACACTAAATCTTACTAAAAAAAAAAATTTAAACAAAATTAATTTAGGAATATTTCAGAGTATTTTATCAGAACCTGCATCAAAAGAATCGTTATTAATTTATAAATTTGTAGATAAAAGTAGGTAAGATTTGTTTTTATAGTAATTTAAAGTTTAGATGATATGTAATTGATTAAGAAGACAACACGGAGCTAACATGCTCACTATTGTGCTAATATCCTAAATAAATAATGAGAAAAAAAAAGACTTATAAATTAAATACCTCGTTGTAATCTTATATAATCTGTTCTTTAATATTTTAATAAAAGACACAAGCATAAGGCCCATCTGATGGTAAATGATTACCGTAGCCTATGGACTTCTTTTTTTTTCTTTTCGGACTACTCTAATGCTGTTGGCGGCAGCTGGCTTTTACAGCTTCAACGGACGTTAGGGGGCGAGTGCAGATGGCACTCCAAACCTGCGGAAGGACTTATGGAGCGGCTGAAGGCCAACTCTTGCCTGACGGATACGACTTTAGTCTGTCGGGCACCACTAGGGGTTCGAACCTCGGCTCAGGCCGTCGTAATATCGATCCCCGTTTGAATTGGACGGGGGATCGATCGGAGGGGCATTATGGACACTTGAAACAGCAGGAGTGTCACGAGCACGTTGCCGACCCTTAAGAAACCTTATGTTAATAATTCCATAGGACCTTCCTCCCGTGTATACTCAGATTGTGGAATAAACTACCTGCCGAGGTTTTCTCGAGAGAATACAGAATGGGGTTTTCCAAGGGTACATCCTTCTTGAAAAACCCCATTCTGTACTCTCTGGAGGGAGGTCCTCTGTAATTCCATAATCTAAGGGCTCTGCAACTACACTGTCCACTACTTCCGTTCCAGCGTGTTGGAATGTATTCCCTATCGATGACGAGCAGTGCTATGGTATACATATATTTGAAATGTGAATTGAAGAAATTTAGAACCACTCGTCTTGTTGCTTAATGTCACATATTGTGACCCCCATCATGGTATATCCCCCATACCATGAATGGTAATATGGTAGTCCCCCATCATATATGACTTTATTTATATATATCCCCTAATCTATACTACTATTGTAAAGCTAAAGAGTTTGTTTGTTTGAACGCGCTAATCCCAGGACCCACTGGTTCGAATTGAAAAATTATTCTTAAGATAAAAAGATAAGATAAGATAAAAAAAAAATATTCACGTTAAAGGCACACACGCACACAAGGCACTGTAATAATAAGAACAAAAATAAAAACAGATATACACATTACATTAGTGAAGTCAAACAAAATACAATACACAACAAATATACAGATAAAATAAAATGCAATACAGATAACAAAAAACGGTGTGAGTAACGTAGTGTGTGTGCATAGCCCATACGTAAAAAGGCAGCACCTCAGTGTATTGTTTGCAGCATACAAGCAGCAAACCACCGATATTCAGGCACTGCCCAGAGACATACGCGAGGACGCATGTAACAAGACCACAGCTTGTAATCAGCCCTATTAATTACCATAAATATTAGTATATTAAAAAAAAACTATAATAAAACAAGAAATATGTATAACATATAGGCATAAAATATATAGGAAATTATTATCAATTCATGTAATAAAATAAATATGAAAAACAAAAGAGAAAATAAAATTATTGCATAAGAGTGTTAAGTGTTTAATAGGAGTGTTGAATTCATGTGTTGGATAGTCCATTTGTTGAGGAAGGCTTTAAGCTATATAACTTTACGCTACCACCAATAGAAGCGAAGCATCAGTGAAAATGTTGCAAAAACGGGGAAAACAATAGTGTTTTTGATAACCACGCGAACAAAGTCGCGGATACAGCTGGTATCTACATATATATACTAGTTTTTACCCGCAGCTTTAATTCTCTTAGGGGTGGAATTCATCAAAATCCTTTCTTCGGGGATGCCTACGTCATAGTAGCTTTATGCATGCAAAGTCTCAGCCCGATCGGTTTAAAATTGACAAAGTTTCATACAAACTTTCATCCCCTAATTCCCTTGGGGGTAGAATTAATCAAAATCCCTTCTTAGCGGTTGCCTACGTCATAATATCTACCTGCATGCCAAATTTCAGCCCGATCCGTCCAGTGGTTTGGGCTGTGCGTTGGTAGATCACTATGTCAGTCACCTTTGAGTTATATATATATATATATATATATATAGATATACAAAATGCGGCACCCTATTTACATTTCGTAAAGGTAACGCTAAAGAGAGAAAAATGCTCCCGCCTCAAAGTTAGATTGGAATACTAACTTTAATAGTTGATGACTCCAAACTTCCTTAATAACCAACATTTTTAATTTCATTTGAGAGGAACACAGAATTGCTTTAGCTTTACTTCAATTACTTAGATGCTTTTGTTTCTAATCTCTATTGAGATAAATTTATTTGAGAGAGATAAACTTCTTAGTCCATGGATTCACCATGTGCCTGGTCCATCATGTGGCAGAGAAGGCTCCCGGTTTCTCAGTTCCCGGGACTTGTGACCCGGGTGTAGGTTTAAAAGGCCCTTTTAAGGACGTACGTCGACACTCACCTTCATCGCTCGTGTTTCTTTCCCTGCCCAGCCAAAACTGGTAGGAGTCTGCTAGTGCAGACTTACAGTTAGATACAGGTTCTAGTATAGAACTTACTGCAGTTTTTGCTGGTATACCTCTCGCTCCCACTTCGAATATTAAGATTTGATTCCTCGTACGATACAGCTATTTGTATTAAATATTGTCTATATTTGATTAATTATTATATAAATATGTACATTTATTTAATAATTGGGTTCTGAGTTGTCAAAATTGGATAACTTGGAGTTTGAATGGACGTGATACGTTATTGGCATATGGAGCCACAATTTACTGTTATTAAAGATCCTCTCTTGTATTAATATATAGATTATGTTGTCATAATGCAATTGTTTAATGCCTACGCGATTGTGTCTCAGGGAGGCGGGCCGCCGTCCCGCGGCAGCTCGGCCGAGGCCGATGACCGCACGCCGCCGCCACCGCTGCCGCCCTCTCCGTTCGTGCCACCAGAAAGCAAATTTCCATCCTACAACTTCACCATGGCTGCGCTGACCGAATCATCGTTGGCTGGTGAATATCAACAAATACCCTATCTGTCATGTGTGTTGTATAACAAATTACAAATGATCTAATGAATTGTAGGCTTCAGCATGAACCCTGTAGGCATAGAAGATGAATGCATAAGGAATGTTGTGACGTTTCCAGGTCTGCAGAGCCCACTGACGCCGGACGGCATGGCGAGCACGTCTCAAGGTGAGTGTCAGCTTGTCTAGCAACAAGTTTATTTTATGCATTAACTACATATATTGAAATAAACGATATTTTAATGCACTGTCTGTCGTATGCCACCATCACCGCTTCCTCTCTGCTCTGTCATTATTAGGTTTATATATCATTAATAGGTTTTATATTTTTACAAAATGTATGAGGCAATTATCACGTGACATATAATATAATATTATAGTATATGTATATAATTATCTCCTCTTATAACCTCTATATATGTCTTCATTTTGTGCTCTGTGTATTAAATAATTAATGTCAGCTTTTTTTGTGTTTTGGTTCGATGGAGTAGCATAACTTCGCTCGTAACTGTTTCGTTGTTCAGATTCAGACAAGTGACTGTTCTGTGTCCCTGTTGATCATTGAACCAAAATGCAATGTGGCGTGCATGTTTACTGTACTGTAACCATAGTTTAATGTATACCTATTAAACAAAGAAGATATGCTAGCTTGTTTCTAGATGTGACTTGAACGATGTGTGCTAGGTAAACCCCTCGATCCTAAGTCTCCGATTAGGTTGGTTTTGTTATCAACATTCTATACGCAGTTTTAGTTATTTATTTTTCCAAACTTTATCTTTTTTTTATTTTCTTTTTAAACATACCGATCATTTAGTACGAAAGAAATTTTTATAATATTAAATGCACTTGATTTATACGAATTGGCTGTAAATATACTGAACTTGAACTTAGCACATTAAAATTCTAATCAGTACAAGATAATGAAAACAAAAGAAGACCTTTCGAAATTAGTTTCCAAGAAATTCAATCATTTGTCGGTGTAAACTTAGAACGATTTCCGGACCACTTGTATTTACTTTACGAAACATAGCAGATCCCATGATTCATTCATGTTTCTAAATACACTCTCGAATTACTATTAAACGTATTGTCTTGGGAATCGAAATATCGTGTAAAATAATAACTGGGTACATTCAAGATTGGACAATGGAGTTTAATAATGGTAACGTGGTGTCAGTTTATAATTACCTAAATATGCGATCAAATATTTCATTGAAGAATTAACGCTTTCGTTGGAAGCGGACTCGAGAAGTGCACGTCGCGCCGTATGTTATGAAAAACAAGCGAACAGCATCATGCATCCATTACTGTAAGCTTCACTAAGCTATCTGCCTCTCGTTAGGCGTCGAACAAAATTATTTGCGTTACTAATACCGCTTCGCATTTAAAATAAACGGCGCGACGGATGGCTATCATCAAATTTAAAGGGGGGTGGCGGTGCTTACATACAAAGAGAGGCTACGATATGGAGAGTGCATTAAAACTGCGTTCGGAAGCTTCGAAGGGGCTAACTGCTTGTGTTGTGACCAGGTGGCGCCCGCACCCCCCAAGAAGATTACAGATGCGAGCCGTGTAACAAGAGCTTGTCCTCCCTCACGCGGCTCAAACGGCATATTCAGAACGTTCACATGCGACCCTCCAGGGAGCCAGTGTGTAACATATGCCGGCGGGTGTACTCCAGCCTGAACAGCCTCAGGAACCACAAGTCCATTTACCACCGCAAGCAGCAGCAACCGTCCGCCTCCGCCGGCCAGGGCCCATTCTACCCCGTCAACTGACGCCCGCCGCGCGCCCCGCGCCCTCCCACAAACACGTTGCCATACGAAAACACGTTGCCATTCAAAGGAACAAAGCTGCCATCCTAACCACCTAAACGCCATAGTCTTGCCCGTAGATCTTTGTTAAGTTAAAACGAAACTGTAACGCGATATGTTCCTAACTTGTACATAGAATAGTTATACATGTACTTTGCATGCGCATCGCAAACTTTATAATATATGTATGTATGATTTATATTCTAACTAAACGACGTAACTAACGCTTGAGGCAAGCGCAGCCCGTCGGTGCCGCCCGCGGACCCGCCGCCACCGACGGCGCTCCGCTCGCATGAACCTTGCCTTTCTGGAACCAATTGGGACATCTATGATCGGTACACGCATAACCACCAACTTAAAATCAAGCGCATTAGTCAAATATGAGCACGTTAAATTGCCTCTACAGCCCAGGTTTCTCAAAATTTGCCACCCGAATGTCGTGGTACTATTGTGCCAATTGGTTCCTTCAATTTGGGACCCGTTGGAAGCGAGCGGTCGCAGTGGTGTTGGATACGAGCATACCGTACTTGCCCGGGGGTTAGGGTACTGTTGTTGACTAATGCGCTAATGTTGGTTGTTATGTGTGGCGCAGTGGGCCCACTGGGCGCGGGGCACCGATGCGAGGTGTGCGGCAAGCTGCTCTCGACGCGGCTCACGCTCAAGAGGCACACGGAGCAGCAGCACCTGCAGCCCCTGCACTCGGCGCGCTGCAGCCTCTGTCACAAGGTGTTCCGTACACTCAACTCGCTCAACAACCACAAGAGTATTTACCACCGCCGCCAGCGCGGCCTGCCGCAGCAGGCGCAGCCGCAGAACCTCACCACCAGCCCCGACGCCAAACTCAACCTGCCCCACCCCCACCCCCACCCCCACCACAACATCGACTTCTACAAGTTCAAAGATCAATTCAACGTCTAAACGAGGCTCGAGCCCGATTACCTAATCGGACTTTCTTTTTTCATTTTATATTCTTTATTTTATACCTTTTTAATCTCTATCGGGATACGTTGATATATTTTATGTTACTGTGTTAAGATTTATATAAAATATTTATTTCGTATTTATGAACTTTGAACTTGTGAAATCTTGATGGAACATGACAATGACTTATGAATGTATTGCATCGACGTCGACACTCTTGACTCGCTGACATTCCAATGATGATGTAGGGCGACCGCAGACTGACCGTTATTACGGCAAATAATCATTATCTCTAAATGCAATGATGTAGGACCGTGTACGCCCTATATAGTGCAATACTGCAACAACCCCAACTTTTTACACTATGTTTAATGTGTGACAATAAGGAGAAGAAAAAATAATATTTTGAGAAAAGATGAAAAATCTTGGTGCTGTAAATTTATATATTAGGCTTAAATTTATAAAAAAAGAAACAGTGTTCGAATAAAGTAACAAAAGAGGCATATTATTTTCAACATTGTGTTCATATTTCGGCGTAATTGCAATTTATTTATTTTTACCTGCATGATCTCACTCTTAGTTATTTATACGAGATTACTAAAACATATTTAAAAATATAAAAAAAAAATTATATACATGAATTATATAATTGGCTTATGAGGCTTATTGAAATCTTTCTTTTATAGTTAGGAGTTTCTGTTTATTGAATGTAAGACTGAATTGTTCAGGACATAGCACCAGCAGACGGAAACCGTTCGGATTTGGTTATACAGAAAATTATCAGCAGAAAGTACTTGTCACAGCATATAATACATAAAAACCGGACTTGAATACACTCCACATACACACACACACAATAAACTCCCGAGTAATGGTACGTAATACGATTGTGATTAATAGAAAATCTAACCAAATATTGCCCCGTGTGTTCAGGCCCTTAATTACGTTGTTATTAACAATTCCCAATTGCAACTGTATAATATTGACGCGTTTGCGATTTTCCATGAACCATTTCAGAGTTGCAAATACGAGCTAAGTACGGCTCGCAATTGAAACTGTTATATTAACCATTCATAACTATAAAATTGTGGATGAAAATCAGTTTCTAATAAGTTTTATTATACCACGAAGTTGACAATAGACCTGGTAAACGGTTACCGTGGCCTATGGCCGTCTGAAACACCAGAAGTGTCTCGTGCGCGTTGCTGACCCTTAAGGAACCCCTTATGTCTTTTTGAAAAAGCCGATACAATATTCTCTGTAGAGTTCTGTAGCTCTAGTACATCAGTTATTATTAACATTATTAGATAATTGAAAAACAAATTTGTGTACAACAAAAATCTGCAGATTTTGCCCAACTGAAGAGGAAACGCCACTACACATCCTGTGTGGTTGTAGCCCACTCATGCATAAACGGAATATCTCCTTTGGAAAGTACACTATATCCTGAGGAGATAAAAACCATCGCTCCTAAGAATATCCTTCAATTCTTGTCCCTGACGGGTCTAGGTAGCGAACTCTGAAATAGTGCGAGCACAACAGATCTATGTAGGTCGCAGTGCTACAGGTCCAAGCGACTGACAACAGCCGAAACCCCCAATAAAAAAACAATTAAAGGATTTGATCACAATTGTGGACAGCGTACCATCATTCTGGATCATACATACAATAGCAACATAAATAATATACAATGTTCACAATTATTTACAAAGTCGACACTTTCTATACAAGTTAATTTTATTATTTCGTCGGCTCTATACATTAGCTATCTCTTTCTACAGCTATCGCCATGTTTCTATGAATGCACAGGACAGCATTATTTAGCCAAGTGAATCGTAAGGTGCCATTTTAAAGAATGATATGGCTATATTATTTTATTTTAGTTTAGTCAGATTTTTAGTTACATTTTAATTAGTCTTATTAAATGTGTTCGTTCTTTTAATAATTATTATTGTTTCGTTAAATTCTCTTACAATAGCTTAGCATTTTTCATTATATCTATTTCTATACAATTATACTTCAATTTTTTGTGCGGTTTTGTACAATGTCTACTTACATATGTTGCTGTTTCGTTGTACAATATGTAATTTAATTACACCATTTATTATTATATAAAATACATAATAGGTAATAGTATAAATTTTGAATAATTCTCAGTGTTAAATGTTCCTAAATTTGAACAGTGTGAATTTTTTAACTATAATGTTTTCAACTTGACATTTATCGATATTTTGCTTGCCATAAATAGTAGTAATCGATGTAGTCACGGGCCCCGCGACTTGCAAGTATAGTATATCACAATAATAATCATAATAATCAGTCGGTACTGGATAGTGGATTCTAATGCTATGACGAGTAGGTTCGAAGTCGCGACGCCCGCGAGTCTACACACGAAAATTGCGTTGTATAACTTAATTGTAGTTCAATATACATCACTTTATCGACAATTAGTGTATCGTAAATCATTTGTTATGTTTCTTTCACGGTAGCAATAAGAAATCTTAAATGTAATTGTAACACATAATTTATTGTAAAACAATAGTGAACACTTTTAGTAATTGTTAGTGCCTACTTTTACATTATTGTTTTCATTGTGAAAAAAAGACATATTTTGCGAAAACTTCTAAATATTTAGGAGTAGTGTTGGAAACACATCTTACTTATTTAGTAATTGATCAGTGCTTTATACTTTAAACTAACGAGAGGCTTCCTAAAGTAAATGTAATGCTATATTTTATAAGATTCTGTTGTTATTACTAGATACATAAATGCTTAGCCATTACAACTTGTTTAGTTATTTAGTAAGCTTTATTATTAAATTGGAAGCTAGTGTTTTGGTGCTAAATTGGAAACATGTTAGAGAAAATGTAAGAGAAAAAAAAAAGCAAAAACTCGAAATTCGTATGGTGTATTTAAAAAGTTTTTTCGCAACATTCCTTATGATGAGAACTGTTAAGTTTTTATTTGCACAAATTGCAAAGTTTCGACGCGAGGCGTAGGTTTGTTGTTTTATGTCTAGTAATTTTAGTGATAGATTTTCTTGTTAATTTGGGTTTGGGAATTAAATTAGTTGACTAACTAGTTATAAGGTTTATCTGAATTCATATAGTTAATAGCTTCTATATGTTTAATTTACGATTACAGGGATGTGCTGCGATGGCAGTACGGTCATAATTTGGCTAATCTATGGTAGCACTGCGGAGAGCTTGTGAATTTATTTATTATAAAAAAAAAATGAAAGTTATATCTGGATTTTTAAAAAGAATGCCAAAATCTAATAAGCGCTATAGACTGATTAGAGTAAGTACGCGTTTGAATTGTACACTATTAGGCATATTTTATAAATAAAAATTGTACATTATTTACTAAATTAACAATTTTATAAAAAGCCGTCGTTGTGGCGAATTGACGAAGCGTGATTTCTTTTTGTATTATTCGAAGAAAAAATTGTGATCGTGATCTTTATTTGACGCTGTTAGGTGCTAAGTTATTTTGGGATCTCAAAGGGCCGTGGGCCCTTCTGGGTTTTAATGGGCGAGAACTACACCGTGTTCTAAGGAGCAGAACACATCCCTGTCAAAACTATATTAGATAGTCTCTTAGCAAGTTTAAGACTGTTTCTGTGACCTGTTTAAGTTTTTACTTTCTATCGAGTTAAGGTGTTTTTTTTTTCTATGCGTCGCAGTCGCGCGCCCACCTTGTACAATGTGTTCTTATAATTCTTGTTGGCATTTTTACTTATTTTATAAGGGATCTAAATTAATTTATTGGTTGTTGTATTGAAATTTTATATTTTTTTTTTCCTTAAATTATTATATGTACTATCAGTAAATGTTTTTGTTGACAGTTTAACATCTGTGTAATGCAGTCCATTCTATTTTAATTGCCGTCGTGCCAAATTGTTGACTTTTAATTTTTCGTCTTCCATTTGATATTCTGATGTCTCTATATCTACTAATGTAAGAGTGCCTACCGCTCGTGAAACAGTTTCTAATTCAATCAATGGTGTCCGCAATAGAATTAAATGGACTGCAACCACGTACTAACATTAGGGACTATTATCGAAATGAATTAACATCACATAATTATTATTGTATATGAATAGCTCTATTCCTTCCTTACTTTTATTAAAGATACTTGACGTAACTCATAAAATGTAATTGTAATCGTTAAACCGAACTTCATAAATCCTAATATTGATGATAATGGCGTTTTTAATAAAAACAAATACATAAAAATCATATTGTCAGTTTTATTGGCCGCCCCGAGCGACAGCGCTCGCGCTGTTTGCCACCGTCCACCGTCCACCGTCCAGCACAGTGCACACGCTTCTGTACACCGACCACCTCCGCTTGACACCTCCACAAGTTGCGTTTGTATGTCCGAGAGAGCTTTGCATTGTCCGGTCTTGTGCCGATTGTGTAGTTTCCCGCCTCCTGCATGTATGTTCTAACACCATCATCGGCTACTGTAGCTTCGCCATCATTTCTATTTATTTAATTTTATTTTAAATTTTTTAAATATTATTTCATCTTTTATAATTTTAGTCACTTTGTTTCACTGTTTAATTATGTTTGGTTCCAAATTCAAAATTTGAACAGCAACAGTAACAACCTGTGAATGTTGCCATTGGAAAATTCTAGACTCCCAGCTAGGTGACGTGTTTTATTTGAGCGCGTACGGGGACCAACCCCACATTTGTTTTGTTTTCCGATCTGTTTACAGGTAAAAAGTTATTCACGTGCTCAATATGCGGGAAGGTTCTGTGTTCGAAGGCATCGCTGAAGCGGCACATTGCCGACAAGCACGCCGAGAGGCAGGAGGAGTACCGATGTACCATATGCGAGCGAGTCTACTGCTCGAGGAACTCTCTGATGACACATATATACACGTACCACAAGTCGAGACCGGGCGAGACGGAACATATCCGGTTTTTTTAGTGACTACTCGGACGGAGTTGGCGCGGCGTGCGGCAGTATTCATCTAGCAAAGAGAACCAACAGAACAATCTGCACACCACCGCCGTACTTAGCATCAATCACAAAGGTTAGATTTTGTTTATACAACGAACAGCATAGGGTAAATGACGCTAACTCATTAACAAATATATTCTATCTGACTAGACTGAGATAGGGTTTAAGGTCCTTTTTAGTTTTCTTACTGGTTCAGTTTATTTAAACTTTATGATTTTAGACATTTTTGTTTCTATTTGTTTTTCTATTGTCCCAAAGCCAAAGGCCCCACCTCCCATCGGGTTTCGCAGTTTTGACGTTGTTGTGTTGCTTGGAGCATGCTTCTATCATTTTTGTTATCACGTGTTTCTGTGTCATTGTGGTTGAAAGAATTTCCTAAGATTTTGAATATTATAAAAACTCGTGATTACTGTGTAGTTAGTCAATGTGTACAGTGCATATTATTAGTATTATAATAATTATTATTAACCTCATACATTCTACGTACTCATATAAAAATAACCTCAAGTACATATGCATTCGATTTTCAAAATTTTGTCTATTAATCTGTCTCGTGTGTGTTGCCAGCTAAAAATACACTCCCAGAATTCTAGCAGCCGCTGACAATCTGAAGTGAAGACTCGTTTGAAAAATTTATATTTCTGATTTCCAGCTGTCCCGCCCCTCCGTATGCCTCCGCCGACAGCTGGCGGCATCAATGAGCCTCAAGAGTGTCCGTACTGCCGCAGGACATTCTCTTGTTACTATTCCTTGAAACGACACTTCCAAGACAAGCACGAGCAGTCTGATACTTTGTACGTGTGCGAGTTCTGCCACCGAAGGTACAGAACCAAGAACTCGCTGACCACGCACAAGAGCCTGCAGCACCGCGGCTCCAGCGGGATGCTGAAGCGGTTGCTGAAGACGTCGGCGCTGCACAGCGCGCTGGCGCCCTCCCCGCACCACCTGTTCGACCTGGGCGCCAGCGACCACGGACCGCAGCTGCCGCCCGGCCTTCAATGACCTCAGACCATGGCTTAATTCGGTGGTAAAACTCCCTATTCCAAATAGACTTGGCCACGAGGACCAGGCGTATTTGAAATATGGCCAAATCGACACGGACATGAAAGGGATAGCATGACACAATGTGCAATATAATGGACAATGCCAAAACAATGCTGGACTTTGCCGCATTTTAATGGTTAATCGTATTATAATTAGTAAAATATTGACGTTAGTTTTAAAAATTACATGCAGTATTGTCGCGTGCGGCCCCTAGCGGCCGCCCAGCGCCTAGTGTACGCTTCGAGGGTCGGACTTCGCTTTGTGACTAACAGTACGCAAGTTACTGACATTTTCTAGTGAAAATGTTCCAACGGTGTTCAATATGACAATGTAATCCAGAGCAATACTAAAGTATTAATATTTCTAGTACTGCCAAAGTAATGCCAACTGTATTCTAAAGAGAAGATGCAATTTTTTAAAATCACTTTTCGATAATTATCTAGTGTCAAATTAGATTCGATAACTGTACAAAATGGAACGTACAAATTTTAAACAGTAAATTTAAAGTGGAAAGAAAATATTTTTTAAAGTAACTTTTTTCGGAACGCCAAATTTAAATGAAAAAAAAAATACAGATTATTTAGGAGTTAATTACAAAAAAAAAAATTAGAGAATAAAAAATAAATGTTAATGTTGAGTAAAAATCTAAAGACTTCCTAGAATCTGATTTCGAAAGTACAAAATTACGTCTAATTGAACGATATAATAATAAATCTATTGTATGTGCGTATGGCTTCAGTAAATAATAGTCATCAATGTATAAGTAGCCGTGCCTTCGTTCGTCTGATGCCATAAGTTGGATGGTGTTCGGAGACTCGCTCAAGAACGAACGACGCGACGCGGAGGCGGTGAACGAGGAACGAGGAACGGTGCCGGTGGACCGGCGAACGGTGAGCGATAACGTGCGATGGGGCCTCCAGGGCCCTAGAATACAGGGTTATGAGTGAGTAAAGTGACGTAGAAGTAGAGATGCGCCACATGAGCCTGTGCGAGGTCTTCGGATAGGGATTCGACGATCGTATACGTGTGCATGATTTGAAATCATGAAGTAAAATTTAATCATTTCTTCTGTATAAAATTATGTAGACTTTAGGTAATAATTGATAGAATTATATTTAACCTGTATCCATTTTCGGATTTCTCTCTATGAGTGTATAGTGACTCTTATTTAAATGTTGACCAACGTAGCGGCCGTCACGTTATTGAAAATTTATTAGATTATTATTATTATTATTATTATTATTATATTCTCAAAAATCTTAGAATTAACCATAAGATGGCTGCAGATTGTATAAAAATTATTTTATTTACATTATATATGTAGGAAATTACTTGAGAACCGCATTCGTTTGAAACACAAGTCATACATATCTTCTCAGGGTGAACGTTGACAGATAATATCATAGACTAGAATCATATGCTCGTAGATGAACGAAACGAGTCTTAGTTTGACATATCACATCTATCTCTACTGATACATATGAAATGCAAGTATTTAACACCGTGATATTTCACAAAGCCAAAGAAACATACGGAGATATCTACATACTTATTTTCAGTAACTTATATACAATGATTTAAAGGAAACGTTGAAATTCTACAAGTGTTGAAATGATTTGATAACCTTGTGCCATATCCAATATTGTTCATTACTCGATTCGGAACATATCAATTCACTGAAAGTGATCCTGTTTTTGAAACAGTTTACAAAAAAACCGTTGAAACAAATTTGTTGTATGCATCTGTTCTGTGAGCAGTAAAGCAACGCAGTTTTTAAACGTTCGATCGTTCAGAGCAACATTATATTTTGCATTTATTTTTTTTTTCAATATAAGTAACTTGGGTTAAGGAAATAATTTAAGTTTTCGTATTTTATTTTCATTCTCGGAATGTTACATATTCGTACTTTGTGATATGTATTTAAGTATAACGGAAAGTTATTTGGTTATTTCCAGATAGTTTATACATAAGTTCTCATAACCTCAACTTAAAAATAGATGTTAATTTAAAATTAAACCGCGGGTTAGTTTTCGGGTTTTGAACTGGCTACACCCGGGTTTCAAGCGTATACCTCCAGTGTTTCGTAATACCTCAGATATATTATTTTGTTTTTATATTTTTTATCGAATGTTATTCTTACGAGTATCGATAGAGCCCTTGCAGCGAATTTTTGAGCGTACCGTCTCGTTCTAACTACGGATATGTTACGGTGGTCAGATAGAGACGGAACGAACTCGAAAACGTTACATATTCGAGGTAGGGGCTCGGTGTTTCTAGTAAATGCAATAACATGGGTACTAAAACGTCTTACAACATTTAGCTGGAGCTTAGAAGAGAAAATATGCGGGTAGATTGAATTGTACATATTATACGTTAGTGACTACAAACACTACGCATGTATCGCGGCATCGTTTGGGAATGAACGCCTCGTGATATTATTAACTATATAGTAAATAGAGAACATAATTGGAAAGGATTTTTATATATTCTACTAATGGATTTATTAATAGTGAAACTTAGTATAGGCTCCAAAACTTTATAACGTTTTGTGTTTATTGTTTTCGCTGTACAAATACTTGGCGGCAGGGTTGCCAACCTAAAAATATTAAGCCTCATGCGTGGAAGTAAAAAAAGTCTCGTATCTTGGCTCTTTGACTACGTCATCAAATTATGACCGAAATTATTTCTCTACGTCGAAATGTCGTACAAACTTGTATTGCAAGAAAATGTCGTATCACGAGAATCCTTGTATGGTTGGTACCCCTGCTCTGAAGCGCGCGTGCGACCGCGTTAATTGTTGCTGCCTCGCGCTTGTTTGGTTTTTTTTCCCACCAATTTTTGTATCGTTTCTTGGTGTTTGTAATTCTAAATTATTTGATCTCAATGAACAGCTGCGAACTACAACCATTTGGAGACAGCCGTTGGTGATTGTTGTTAGGTCTTTTTACTATGTTAAGTTTGGATGTGTCGGCAAAAAAACAATCGCAGCTAGGGAACTAATATCGTAACTCGGTTACGTATCAAAATTTACAATGACAACAGCGTTAACAATAGGTTTTTAAATGTTTTGCAATGTATACCAAAATACTGCATTTTTTTATAGATAAGATTAAAGTGAGAACATTTTTTTTTCTTAAATTTAATGTACGCCGTCAGGTTCGCAATATAATTTTCGCTTCTTCGCCAATTATGTTAAGTTTAACAGAGAAATACTTTATAAGTCGACTGTGTTACTAAGTAGGGTAATGCACAAATAATCAACAACGGAATGCCTTCTTACAGTACAACATTACAATAGCCTATACACTAGGTAGATATATATAAGATACCTATACACATATTTAAAAAAAATGACATTAGGATTTTGGAAATAAATTAAGAAATTTTAAAAAGATCTTAAAACAATATTTTGTCCTTACAACATAGATAAGTATATTAAAAAAAATAATTTATACCTAGGTACAACACTAGCTCATAAAAATAACTATATCATATAAAACGAATTAGGTACCTAGTGACGTAAACTCTAACCTCTTAATGTCATTTTGGAATACATAATCAATATATCATTTTTGCAACGTTTTTTAATGAAAGAATGAAATATCAACCGATCATTTTCTTATTGTATAATTTATATCGAATTAAAAAAAAAGTGTTTATACCATAGATTTTATAACCCCATGTTCACAAACGTATTCACAAACAACTGTTTTAAATGCTTTTATAATATAAGTATTACCTCTAATAAGATTAAGTATTACCTCCATACATTATTTTTTTTAATTATGTAACTCGACACGCCTTTTTCCCGCGCGTTTTTCGGGAGCGTGTCAAAATGTTAACATTATGTATTATCAGCCAATTAAGATGTCATCGTATTTACCAATAGACAGTTATGTTGTAAATATCAATTTTATATAGCATTTGTTAAATATTTTCCCATACATAAACATTATTTTTGTTGAATCATAAACCATATATAAAATGCAATAGTTCGCAGTCAGCACTTTTGTCTATGCCGACATGTTTGACATAAACAAAAGTGTTGCCTACCAGTATCTACAATAGTTAATTTTATTGAAATATTACAAATTCTCGACCGAGGACATGATTCTTTTATTTAAGAATAAATCGATTTTATCACTAAACACTTTATAGGTGTTACGAACGTAGAATTATTAAGAATGATTATTGTTTTATAATACATATGGCAACATTCTTTGCATATTTACCTTAAAAGTTACTTTTATTATACAAATATATATTTAAATGTGTAGATTAAAATTATTTCAGTATCACGTTTTATAGTTTATATTAAACTGCAAAATATAAATAGAAACTCGCCTCGTTATTATTAACTATTTATATTTATAAATCATTACCACTTCTCATTTATACTTAACCGTTACCAGCAATATCGTTAAGACCATTTCGACTGTTCAGTCGTGAAAAGGTAACAGAGACACATACTTTCGTATTTATAATAAGTATGTATTATATGTTAAATGGGATACAGGTATTTCTCTATTTATATTGTTAGGTAAAGTCGATTTATTCTTAAGTCAACATAGCTTTAATATAAAACAGTATCTTCCACTTTAAGGTAACGTATAATAATTCATATAGCAATAGTACCCAATCAGCCACAATACCTCAAATATATAGTTACGTTTATATATTATCACTTATATATAGATAAGAATCAACTAGCAGATTTTTCAGCTATCAATATTTAGTTTAGAACAATAGAATTAATAATTAATGTTAGAATGTTATTATTTTCTCTGTTTGTTTCAATAACACAACTGGTATATTTACAATTGCAATTAAATAATAACTCTAAATAAAGACTAATAAAAAGTACAAAAAATGTAGTTTATTCTTTGAGAGATAAATTTTTGTAGGTAATAAAACAATAATCTTTTTAATCTGTCACATTGTATTTGTAATATATCTGAATATAGACACACGAGTCATTTATTATCTATGGTCAAATTATACTGCAAGTAGAAAGAAGTTTTGTAAACAAAATGGCGTTAAATAAAATATTTGTACAAAATGCCGGATAACTCCAAAAAATTGCATAACCTAACGATGATAAAATTAGACCAAAAAATACAAGTTTGTACATATTAAATTGTATTCAAAGAATTCCTGCAAATATAATCGTTTTAATACAAAACGCACAATTAAATCATAAAATAAATCAAGTACTTAATTTTTTTTAAATTATATTGGATTGTAGTCTTACACAATTGACTGTTATTGAATCAGACAAACTCTGTAGCTGTGATTTCTTGTCTAACTATAGCGACAAATCTGCTAGGCCTACAGTATCTAGTTAACATAAAATAGTTCCGTAATTCAAAGTGCACTTACGACTTTTATATAAAAGTATAAGTATTATATTATATTAAGATTCAATCATGTCCGCGGTCGAGCCATCGTTGATAGCCCGTCTTTACAGTACATAAAATAAAAATATTTACAATATACAAGCTTACGACATTCAATATACTAACAGTTATTATGAAGTAGATGTACTTTTATGTGTAGATAACACATTAAGTTGTGGCGCCATTTTGTTAAAAGTCGCCGTTCGAAATTCAACTTCCCGCCAAAATGCTGCGAACTGACACGTTCGGTGCGTCAATATGTTATTTTTCTTCGGTGAACTTTTAACAAACGCACGCCGCTCATACTGTTATGCCTGGGTGACATTTTATACACAGAAATATTTTTTTATAATTAAAAATAAAAAACAATTTATATGTGAAAGTTAATTAAGTGGCAATTCTAATTTTTACTGCACTATATTTTTGCTGACACTTAGGTTAGATTTTTCTCTTTTTTCGTAATTTAATGTATGCACGATCTGCGTTTTTATTATCATTGATTTTCTTTTCTTTAAGCCGGTGTCTTAAGTGATACATACCCTCGAGTCGTTACAACAAACTTATTTATTGATTACAAACGAGCGTAAGTGCCACATAAGACATTTTACTTAGTCTAAACTACTATTGTGTTACTATTATGTAAAAATATGGTTTGCCATCGTTGAACAAAGATGAAAATATGTGTTAAATACATTTAGTTAATGAGTTTTGTTATACTTTTAATGTTCGGGATGGGTCAGAGTGGAGGATGTAAAAAATGTTTCATAGTATTGTGTATTGATCGAATAAGGTTACTAGGTGTGCGGGACCGTCTAAGCGGCCCTTATAGAGACTTAGGGCTTCTCTTGAAATTGTTGTAAGTTGAACATCTATTGTCGGTGAAGACACTTAAAGTACTATTGTTGTAGCATGTAATGAAATCGAATTACGAATTGGTGTTCAACGGCCGCTGGAACCGCGCCATTTTAACTCTAGGCAAAATCATGTGTAAAATTATTTATTTCGCAGTATGTTGCTCAATGGATACTCAAAATGTCTAGTGTTTGATATTGTTAGTTTATTAATTGTAGGATCACACACGACCAGTCCACGGTACTACTCTTTAATGTCAGTGTTGCTATTTTCAAAATATTAATAGGACTGACAGCATAATTTAATGTGAACTGTATTTAGAAAAATAAAAATGTGTCTATTGTACGTAGTTAGATTTTGTACATACTGCCAAATTAGTGGAGAATTATGTCAAATTCATATAAATTGTTAGAATTAGATTAGAATTTTGTGTAAATTATTTGTGAGGTCCAAATAAATTGCTGCCAATTTTTGTCTTCAAATTGGGTAAATTATAATACTCATAAAACATACAGACAAGATTATGAGAAATATATATAATAATGAGAAAAAAATTAAATACAAAATTACTTACCATACGGTGTATTCTTGTTTGTCTCGGAAATTAGTGTTTGATCTCATAAGTGGCGAAAGCCCGGGGTTCCAGCGGCAGTTTAACTGGTGTCTTTACTTGTTTTGATGTTGTTGATATATGTGATTAAGGAATAAACTCGGGTTGCAGTTGGTAGGTAGGTACATATCAATGGTCGGAAAACTTAGTACTGTAAGTATCTTTGTATCTGACGCCTTTGCCTGCTACGATCCATCATTGTCTATGGTTCCACTGTCAATTGTATTTTGGCGCCAAATTGTATTGACTAGTCTTTAATGTTTATTATATGATGTTTTCTTAAAACGGCATTATTTGTAATATTATTTACAGTATATTGGCGCTAAATTATTACATGTCTTTATTTCAGATGTTACAATTTTGTACATGTATTGTTTTTTTTTCTAAAATGTTTGTTTATGGTGAGCAATAGCGATGATGGACCGGAGCGCAATAATTGCTCTTTTTTTAACTTTCAAGTGAATTGTTTCTTTGATCCGTCTCATTTTTCGTTTCGATATCTGCATTTGAATTCTCACGCGAAGTATAACAGTTGGATGTAATAAAAGTATAAAATAAACTCGCAGTGATTCCATTGATGATGTGTATTTTAATTTATTTTCACCTACATATACATTTAAGAGACACGAACTTCTTAGAACTCCTTGGAGTCACCCTACGGGAGCCGGGTGATAAACTTCTTAGAACTCCTTGGAGTCACCCTACGGGACCCGGGTGACAAACTTCTTAGAACTCCTTGGAGTCACCCTACGGGAGCCGGGTGACTAACTTCTAAGAACTCTTTGGAGTAACCCTACGGAAGCCGGGTGACAAACTTCTTAGAACTCCTTGGATCCTATGGGAGCCGGGTACACAATGTGGCAGAGAGAGTAACTACGCGTAGTTCCCTGAAAGTCCCCTTATACCTAAATCCAGCTCACAAGGACACTGGTGTAAGTTTAACTAGCCCCTTTGCTGACGTCAACACTCATCTTCACCGCTTACGTTTCTCTCCCTGCCAAGACAAATCTGGTTGGAGTCTGCTAGTGCAGTTTTAGATACACGTTCTATGTAGTATAGAACCTACTGCAGTTCTAGACAGACCAAGATCTTTTAGAAGATCGTAGAGAGATTTCGCTGGTATACCTCTCGCTCCCAATTTGACCGCATATAAATTAAGTACATAATTATTTTTAGGTAATTCGCTTGTTAGTTCGTATTAAGACAACTTAATCTTATATATTAAAACTAGCTACTGGCCCCGGCTTCACCCGGGTGTACATATATTATACATATATACCTTCCTCTTGAATCACTCTATCTATTAATAAAAAGCTCTTCAAAATCCGTTGCGGACTTTTAAAGATTTAAGCATACATAAGGACAGACAGACAGCGACCGCGACTTTGTTTTATACTATGTAATGATAGTGATGCTCGTGTCACAATGTTTTTATGAAATCTTATATTCAGTATGTCTGAGAATCGGCTACTATATATTTTTCATCAAGTGATAATGAATGTCCAAGCCCAGCGTTCATTTATTTTTGAAATTTTTGTTTTTATAATGTGGCATTAAAAAATAAACACAACCCTATATTTTCTACCATCAACCCCTATTTTTTAATAGCGATTTTAATTTATAGGACTAAACATTTGCGGGGTCAGCTAGTAATTATATATATAAATATGATTAAGTACCAACTGAAAAACTATATATAGTATATAAATGCAACTTTAGTTATATAAATATATTTCTACCCTTACTTAATTGACATTGGTTGATATAAATCTACTAATTTCTAGCCAACTTGCAATATGTTACTACCCTAAATCCTACTCCTATTTTTATCCACCAAATCTGGGGGTAGCATCAACAAAATGAGTCGTTCGTTGTACGTCGCGTCGAGCACACGCAAATCAACATATTCTCCGCGAATCAACGTTAACGGAACCATCAGCCGCGATCTTCGCGCAATCATCTGATTAGTACATCATCCAGTGAAATTCATCGTAGTGTTGTGCGTTTTTAAGGTGAAACGGCTACGCGTATAATAAGACCTGCACGCGGGGACGACACGAACCAGGTTGGTCCTTAGTTTCCCTTTTTTACCCAACATTCTTCATGGTCCTTCGTCCAGATCACCATCATTCATCTCAAAACCCATAAATAAATCATATTTCATAATCATCTGATTATCATATTCATCTCATAATTTCATCAAGTATTGCAAGTCATTTTTCATTGTCATATCAACCGCCGTACATATCAGCCATTTTGCTCATATTTCACCTTGTCATTCATTCCATCAAATCAGTATCATTCATTGGCTGTCAATAAAGCTTTAAGCAAAAATCATAACTCATTGTTGGCAACACAGAACAGTAAGTTGTCAATCATAACCCGTCAGTATTAATTCATTCAATCAAATTGTTAGTTTAACTTTTGTTTACATTTTAATTTTCGTATATCATTTAGGAAAATATTACATTATTTTGGTTAAATAACATCAATATACAATGGCAAATATTAAAGCGTATGCCACAAACTGCGATCTGAGTTACAAAAACATGCGAAATGTGTATGAACTTGCAGGTAAACTTAGCCAAAATCCAAACTTAACTTCACAAGAGCAAGTTGGTTTCATGGTTCGATTTAAGGATATTGAACGGTTTAGGCAACAATTCGAGGAGGCTTTTGCTATTCTTATGTCTAGTACTGAGTCTGTAAGTGACAAATCTCGTGAGGAGTTGGAAAACAGATATTCAACTTTTATGGATATGTTTTATTCTGTTCAGGTTTTGCATAGTTCAATACAAACAAAGAGTAACAATGCCAGTGGTTTTCAACACTCATCATCTAAATCTGAACCTGCCTTTCAGCTTCCCAAGATATCTCTAAATAGGTACTCAGGTGTGAGCGTAGAGTGGCCAAACTTCATCTCAATTTTCAACAGTCTAATTCATAATAATGATAGTTTAAGTTCTGTTCAAAAGTTACACTATTTATTGAGTGTTTTGGATAAGGAACCACTCTCTTTGGTAAAGCATTTAGTAATATCTAGTGAAAACTATCAAGTTGCTTACAATTTATTAACAGAACGCTATGAAAACAAGAGAGTTATCGCTGATAAACATGTAGAAGCAATTCTTAATTTGCCAAATTTAACACAATTAAATTTAAAAACTTTAACAAAATTCTTATTCACCATTAAAGAGAGCACTCAAGCTCTTGATGCCTTAAACATGAATACTAAATCATGGAGTTCTCTTTTACTTCATATAATTCTTAGAAAATTGTCACTGGATTTAAGAAGCAAATTTGAATCTCAAGTTGACATTAAAACTATACCTACATTTGAGAATTTAATTAAATTTTTGGAAAATCAATTACATGTTTTAGAAAATGTTAGTGCTTCTATACATAGGGCTTCTACTAGTAGTACATTAACAGTCATTGAATCAAACAATAAAAATAAACTTAGTACAATTATTTGTCCTTGCTGTCAGGATAAACATAGTCTATATTACTGTTCTAAATTTGATACAATGACTCCGGAACAAAGAAAATCCTTTGTTTTTCAACATAAACTCTGCTTTAATTGTTTAAGAACTCATCATATTTCAAAATGCATTTCACAAAGTGTATGCAGAGTATGTCGTGGCCGACACCATACAAAGCTACACATCTCATCCGATCAACTGAAACCTTACCCAAAAGATAATGAAGTTGCTGTGTCGACAGTGGGTTCCATAGCTCAACTTCAATCTATCCATGGTGTCGAATGTAAATCCACTATGATTTTGGGTACTGCTATTGTCAGTGTACGAGATGTCAATGGATATTACCATTCAGCTCGTGCTCTCATCGACAATGGTTCTCAGGTTTCAATTGTAACCGAAAATCTTGCACAACAACTTAGACTGCCACGTTCACCGTCTAGCAGTGTTCTTGGTTTAGGTGCTTCATCAGCTCAGCATAGTCGAGGAATGATACACTGCAACATAAAATCTTTTATGGATCCTACCAAGACCATATCAACTAATTGTATCATCCTAAAACGCATAACAGGTAATCTCCCATCAGTTATGGTAAATAAATGCATTTTAGATAAATGTAAAAACTTAGTCTTGGCTGATAACAACTTTTCAATGCCGGGAAAAATAGATGTTCTTTTAGGTGTTGACTGTTTTAATAAAATTATTGATGGTGAACAACGTAGCCTGGGTGAAGACATGCCCACTGCGCATTCATCCATCTTAGGTTGGATCATCATGGGCAAGGCTCCCACAGCATCGCAGCAGACTTGTGGTGTGGTCTCCATGGCCTGTACCACAGATATTAATTTTAACCTTTCAAGGTTCTGGGAATCTGAAGAACCTCCCAGTCAACCTATACAAGATCCTGAAAACATTATTTGTGAAAAACACTTCACTAACACTCACACAAGGGATAGCACTGGTCGTTTCATCGTGCGGTTACCTTTCAAAGTGGATCATAAACCTTTGGGTGAAACACACACCAACGCCTTAAAGCGATTTCATAATTTGGAGCGTCGCATGCTTAAGGATGAGAAGTTGCATGAACTTTATGTTGCCTTCATGAGGGATTACATTGAAGCTGGCCATATGCGTCAAGTGTCAGGTCCAGTATCAAGTGACCGATATTATATTCCCCATCATGGTGTGCTACGCGAACACAGTAGTACCACAAAACTTCGTGCTGTATATGATGCATCAGCCTCTAGCTCTACAGGTGTTTCACTTAATCAGGTACTTATGTCCGGTCCCAAACTTCAAAAAAATATTGAAGATATTATTTTGCGATTTCGACTCCACAAAATTGTCTTCACATGCGACATAAAACAAATGTATCGACAGGTGCGCATGCATGATGACGACTGCAGATACCAAACTATCTTCTGGCGCGCTTCTCCTGCTGAACCCTTGAAGCAGTACGAGTTAACTACCGTAACATACGGCGTCACGAGCTCTGCTTATCAAGCTATTCGCGTCATTCACGAGTTAGCTCATTTAAATACTAGCCAATATGCTGAGGCTTGTAGGGTGTTGCTAGCAGATACATTCGTAGATGATATAGTTAGTGGGTCTCATTGTCTTGATTCTGCTCAGCAATTGCAGCAAAATCTGGTTGCCATTCTCTCTCAAGGCGGTTTCGATTTGCGCAAGTGGTCAAGCAACTCAAAGGAGTTCTTGGAATCTTTCACCTCCGATCATTGCGAGCCACCATACCGTTTCGAGGAGCATGGTGACAACATCTTCAAAATTCTGGGCATCGAATGGAACGCAAAAACGGATAGCTTCATCTATCATGTCTCAAACATGAGTAATGTCATGACCATGCGTGGCGTTTTGTCTAACATCGCGAGACTTTACGATCCATGTGGATTTTTAGCTCCTGTCACTTTCTACGCCAAGCACCTTATGCAACAGCTGTGGTCAACACAAAAGAGTTGGGACGATCCACTTCCCCCTGCTATACAAAAATCTTGGTCGGAATTAATAGCAGATTTTCCTCATCTTAATAAAGTATCTATATCACGTTACGTTATCACTGATCAACCGTTTGTATGTCAATTGCACGGTTTCAGTGATGCGTCCGAGCGCGGGTATGCCGCTTGCATCTATCTGCGTATTCAAAATACTCATGGTAATTATGTTAAATTATTACTTGCAAAATCACGGGTAGCACCACTCAAACAAAAACTAACTATTCCCAAATTGGAATTAAACGGTGCACTTTTACTCATTCGCTTAACCAAACACGTGTTTGACATTTTAAATGTCAAAATGTCAATCACTACTGTCATTGCTTGGTGTGATTCGAACATAGTCCTATCGTGGCTTAAAACTTCACCTCACAAACTTCAAACTTATGAAGGGAACCGTGTATCCCAAATCCAAAATTTATTTTCCAATGTCACGTGGAAACACGTACCGTCCATGATGAATCCAGCTGATTCAGCTAGTCGAGGCCTTACTCCTACTGAATTAGTTGATCATCCCCTATGGTGGTGTCCATCATGGCTTGAAATGGACGTTTCAACATGGCCTAATGAATTATCAGAACTTAGCGAAGCCGACTTGCCTGGTGTACGGTCCTCCTATCCTGCAGCTTATGTCACGCATACTATTACGGAGCCTCCTTTTCTCACCAAGTACAGCTCGTTTACCAAGTTACGATGTATAGTAGCTTGGTGCAAACGTTTCTGTCACAATCTACGCAAGCCTTCACAACGAAGAACTGGACCAATTAGTGTGGCCGAGTTGATTGATAGCACTCACACTATCATTCGATTGGTTCAGTCTTCGGAATTCTCTGAAACAATTAAAAGGCTACAGGAAAACAAATCTATTAAAGGTGGTCTCATGAGACTTAATTTATTTCTCGACAACATCGGTCTCGTAAGAGTAGGTGGAAGGCTTACCAATTCTAATTTGTCGTACCACACAAGGCATCCATTGCTACTTCCTAAGGCACACCACGTGACACGATTGATAATTGACTATTATCATCATGTCTTCTTACATCCTAGTCTAAATTCCCTTCTAAATTTATTACAAAAATACTTTTGGATTTTATCAGCGCGTCGAATTGTCCGCCAACAAATTTTTCGTTGTCAACGTTGTTATAGATCACGACCTAGATCTATTGAACCGTTTATGGGAGATCTACCCTCCCACCGAGTAACATCCTGTCGACCTTTTCAAAAGGTTGGGATCGATTTTGCGGGCCCGTTTTTCTTAAAAACTTCTCGTATCCGAAACGCCAAGTCCGTAAAATCGTATCTCTGTATTTTTGTATGTTTTACAACCAAATGTGTTCATCTGGAAATTGTTTCAGAGTTGTCTACTGAAGCGTTTCTTGCATGCTTCGATCGGTTTGTTTCTCGTAGGGGACTTCCTAGCGACGTGTTTAGCGATTGCGGTACCAATTTTGTTGGTGCTCGGAATTATCTAAAAGATGTTACGCAACATATTATAAATTCTCATGAGGAAATCCATAAATATTTAGCTCATCAACAAATAGTTTGGCATTTGAATCCTCCCGCCAGTCCACACATGGGTGGTTTATGGGAGAGTGCTGTTCGCTCTGCCAAATTAATCATTACTCGTGTAATTGGCGATCGCTCACTGGTCTACGAAGAATTAGCTACCATCTTCACTAAAGTAGAGGCTGCTCTAAATTCACGTCCTTTAGTACCTATGACAAATGATCCAAATGACCTGGACGTTTTAACTCCTGGCCATTTTATCATCGGTAAACCTCTTCAGGCATTACCTGAAGAAAAAATAATAGAATCAAATCTTCTCAAGCGTTGGCAGTTAGTACGGCAAATAACTCAGCATTTTTGGAAGCGTTGGCAATCCGAATATCTTCATACATTACAACAGCGACCCAAATGGCTTGCTAAACTACCTAACGTTCAAGTAGGCGATTTGGTTTTGCTGAAAGATCCCGGTTTGCCACCATTTCGTTGGAAAATTGCTAGGGTAACTAAAATTTGTCCAGGTTCTGACGGTACTGTTAGGGTGGTAGAGTTGAAAACTTCTACTGGTATGTTACTTCGACCAGTAGTCAAGATTTGTCCATTATTACCTTGTGCCTAAAGCCGATCATTATGCTATCGAACCTTAGCTTAGTATTATTAGTTTAGTTACATCTCATTATTATTATTATGATTTTTTTTTTTTTTATAGTTAACATTGTTGGAAACCTTTGCAGTTTCATATCTTACTTTTTTTTTATTCTCTAAAGAGCTTAGAGGCTCTTTGGGGGGCGGTATGGTTGATATAAATCTACTAATTTCTAGCCAACTTGCAATATGTTACTACCCTAAATCCTACTCCTATTTTTATCCACCAAATCTGGGGGTAGCATCAACAAAATGAGTCGTTCGTTGTACGTCGCGTCGAGCACACGCAAATCAACATATTCTCCGCGAATCAACGTTAACGGAACCATCAGCCGCGATCTTCGCGCAATCATCTGATTAGTACATCATCCAGTGAAATTCATCGTAGTGTTGTGCGTTTTTAAGGTGAAACGGCTACGCGTATAATAAGACCTGCACGCGGGGACGACACGAACCAGGTTGGTCCTTAGTTTCCCTTTTTTACCCAACAGACATATTATTTTGCCCATCTGATGGTAAATGGTTAGCCTATGGACGCCTGAGACACCAGGGGTGTCTCGTGCGCGTTGCCGACCCTTAAGAAACCTTAATATATCCTTCTTGAAAAATCCAATGCTGTAGTCTCTAGAAAAAATATCGGAAGGTAGTTACGTAACCGTACTCCAGTCAGCTCGTGACCGTACCACAGCCAGTGCAACCTAGTCGTAACGTCGAGTGAGTTAAATACCTTATTTAGCATAAAATTAACGTTACCCGAATACCTATATTAATAACTAGCTGTTCCCGCGACATCGTCCGCGTGGAATTTAACTTTATTTTTCTAAAATAAAAGTAGCCTAAGTTACTCCTTATTACGTCAGCTACCTGCCAAAAAAGTCACTTCAAAATCGGTCCAGCCATTTCAGAGATTAGCCGGAACAAACAGACAGACGGACAAAAATTGTAAAAAATGTTATTTCGGTGTATGTACCGTATTCCTATTCATATGCATGTACACAAAAATACACACATATTTCAATATAACAAACAGACATTCCAATCTTATTTATACGTATAGATGTGTACGACATGCAAAAGGCTAAAATTGGGATTTTGGATAACTAAACTTTTGTCTAGACTGTAATAACCAAATGGCTCCATTGAAAATCAGTTTCAATGGAGCCAGTGGAAGTAATAGAAAGTAGTCAAAATTTTTACATTAGAAATGTCGTGTCATAAATAATAATAATAATAATATCGTTACCGTCTCGATAACTCGGTCGGTATCCCAGATGGAGTAGTCAGAAATAGAATAGAAATAAAAAGTATTGTCAAGAGATCAGAGGACTAAGATGTCATGCTTATCCTGTAATTTCATTACAAACTGCATTCTACAACCGAAATACAGCTTAAAAACCAACACTGATAACGTTTTACAAAAAAACATCTGCGAAAAACTTCCTTCATGAATTTCTATAAAATATTTTATATGTAAATAATTTATTAATTTTAATTTCTAATGGGTATTAGTAGGATAATAGGATTTGTGGTATAAATCTGAAGTTTGGGAGAGTGAATTGTTAAAACATGTCAGTTTGACCCTCATGTGGACTATTTATTTTATGTCTTACATAGCTATTTAAGGTAATAACATATTTTTAACAATAATTTACACTGATAACGTTAGAACATAGTGGTGCCCCCTATTTTTAACTTACCTGAGTGTGCGTCATTCTTGACATTTGTACTGTGATCAAACTGACAGCCCTCTTGCATGTGTTGACAGTTGTCACTATGTGTTATACTTTATAGTACAATTTGTCAAGTTGTGTTCGAAAAACTTTTCACATGTACTTCAACGAAGTTTTTAAAAGAAAATATAATATAATGTTCTAGAAATCTTTTCACAATGGACGCCTATGACATATTTAAAAAACTAACGAAAGGTCTAACATTCAAACACCGAGTTCTGGGCATTAAAAACAATGTGAGTATACAATTATAACCTCTTAATTTTTGTTATTTATTGTTTATAAGCTGTTTCGCGACATCGTCCGCGTATAATTTAACTTTATTTTTCTAAAATAAAAGTAGCCTAAAGTACTCCTTATTACATTAGCTACGTGCCAAAAAAAGTCCTGTCAAAATAGATCCAGCCATTTCAGAGATTAGTCGGAACAAACAGACAGATCTATCTGACAGACAAAAATTGTAGAAAATGTTATTTTGGTGTATGTACCGTATTTATATTCATATGCATGTAGGAAAAACGCTTATTTCAATATTACAAACACACCAGTTTTATTTATATGTATGTATGGATGATTTTAAAATATTAGTGTCCTGTACTCCATAGCAGGAACCGTCAGTAGCTGTTAAAAAAGAAGAATTAAAGATTAAAATTGAAGAACCAGATGAACATGAAATAGAGGATGGTAATGATTCAGATCTATCTGAACCAGAAGCCTCTATATATATATATATATATATGGTAGATGGTGTAATTATTGGAGAGAAGAAAAGAAAAAAGAAGAGAAAAGAACAGTCTGAGGATTTGCAAAAGAAACTTGAGCTTGAAGAGGTGAGTACCATGAGTACTAGACGCATTAATATATTTATAACTAGCAGTTCCCACGCTCCGTCCGTGTGGATTTTAACTTTATTTTCTAAAATAAAATTAGCCTATGTTTCTAGTTATTACATCAGTTACCTTCCAAAAAAGGTCACGTCAAAATCGGTCCAGCTATTTCAGAGATTAGCCGGACAGACAGACAGACAAAAATTGTAAAAAGTGGTTTTTTGGTGTATGTACCCTATTTATATTCATATGCATGTAGTAAAAAACGGTTATTTTAATATTACAAACAGACTCTCTAATTTTATTTATATGTATAGATTAACATATGTAACTTAGTAACTTACTTAGTGTGGCACACACTTATGTACATTCTATTTTAACACTATTGTATCCATCTATTGTATTTAATTTTGCCCATGGTCTGTTAGGAAGGTAAGGGAAATTATTAGAAATTCTCAATGGTCTGTCCTGTAGCACTTCAGTACTTTGCCAAAATTGCAATGGTCATGGATATGACGATCACTTGAAATAAACATATGTATTCATGTGTATAACTTTCTATGTGTATTAGATATGTATTAAAAAACATAATGAAATATTTCTATCAAGTGTACTGTACCAATAGTAGAAAATCTGATTACTTTGGGACTACATGGAGCTGTAGGAATTATCGTGGGCTATATTATTAACAAAATTAATAACCTAAACTAATAAAATTCTAAACAAGACTGATCAAAACAAATATAAAAATGGTATTGTAATTCTTATACACAATTATAATATATACAATAATAAATTATGTTATTTATTTTATTTATAATTATAATTTTTATTTTCATTTATTTTCAGCAAAATCGCTACCGTAATGAGTATGGTATAAAAGTTGTTGGTCGACATGTTCCCGCTGCTCTGAAGCAGTTTTCAGACCTTGTGCCTCAGTACAATGTGTCCCAGGCACTGGTGAACACGGCAATACAGTGTGGGTACAGTGAACCCACACCTGTACAACGACAGACTCTACCCTGTATGTTGGAGGTATGTTAAATCAAAGCAAACCATTTATTTGATTTGTTATATAAACTTTCATTAGGAATTAGGTATAAAAAATTACAATAAGATACCAAAGGATATACTGGAATTACCCTTAAATAAATTCAAAACATCTGTTAAATCATATTTACTGAGCAAAGCCTATTACTCACTAAAAGATTACTTGAATGACGAGCGTGCATGGCAATAGTTGTTCATGCATGGGATTATCATTTGTTAGTCATAGACATCTATATAAAACATTAAAAAAAAATTGGCTTTTGAAATAAAAAAGTAATTCAATTGAGTTTCTTACCAGTTCTTCGCAATTGGATCTATATACTGAACTGGACAGTAGGGAAAAAATTATAATATATATATTTTTTTTTTTTTTTTATTATTACATTCATGATTTTTATTTACAAAATAGGACCGCCAAATACTTGCCTGTGCTCCGACTGGCTCTGGTAAAACAGCAGCGTTTCTTCTCCCCATACTGCACACACTGGGAGCACCCCAAGGAGGCCCGAGAGCCTTAATCCTATGCCCGACGAGAGAACTAGCACATCAGATCTACCGGGAGGCACTAAGGTTGAGTGCCTCTACTGAGCTGCGATGCAGTGTGGTACGAAACATGAAAGAAAGTAAAGTGAAGGAACGCGAAGCCACAATTAGAAAAAGTGGTAAGTATATACCTAGTTTGACAGCCTCGGTAGTCTAGTAGTGACTTAGCACACTGCTTTACTTCCTATGGTTGATTGCTCGCACGGTGCAAACGGTTATATTCATGAGTATTGTTGTTTGTATTAAAAAAAAGGTAATTGTAAAAAAAACGCAGTATTCATATCCACGAACAGAAATATTTGTATTGTGCGAGAAGTGAGCCCGCGATCTTCATCGAAATTAAGACAATGTATTTTAGAACTGTACCACTGAAATTTCGATGACGATCGCGGGGTCGCTTCTCGTCTAAATTTGATACTACACAGTTAATAATAATAATAAAAATAATAAGTAACAAGAATTTGGAAATAGGAATAAGTTTATATAATACCCATAGTCCTCTCATCCACAGGTATCAAAATTCAAAAAATTCAAACTTAAAAAATCATTTATTCATGGAGGACATTTTAGCCGCTTATGAACGTCAAATTTTTACATTATAATTTTATTTTTTTCCCTACCGTCCAGTTCGGTATATAGATCCAATTGAGAAGAACTGGCAAGAAACTCAATTGAATTATCTTTTTTTTAAACTTTTTAAAATTTTATTTACAATTTATATAGGTGTCTATGTCTAACATTAAATTAAAATTCAGTGCATGAACAACTATTGCCATGCACACTCGTCATTCAAGTAATCGTTTAGTGAGTAATAGGCTTTGCTC